GATGTTTGATAATATTTAAGAAGTTTTCATCATTTTGCACATTGTTTGTTCCACCACATTCACCATGGTGTTTCAAGAAAGGTAAACACTTATGTGCCAGTATCTTCTTTCATACTCTTCTATATCTGTGGGATATATAAATATATTGTTGTTAAGTGCTGTCAAGTCAGTTCCGACTCATAGCCATCCGTGTAGGGTTTCCAAGGAGTGACTGGTGAGTTTGAACCGCTGATCTTGTGGTTCCAGTCGACCTTGTTGTCCAGTGCTTTATCCCACAGCGCTATGTTAAGACTTCATATAAATATATGTGTATATTTATAAATATGTAAATATATGTGTGTATATACACAAACATATATACACATTCCATTCCATCCCATCCCATACCCATTCAGCATGTGTCTCTGTCCATGTATCTACCCGTAGACTATTGCTGTTGCAAGCTTGTCTGTATGTCACTATTTACCTCTGTCTCCTTTAGTCCTTGCATACCCTACCTTCCTGTAGTCACCATTCTTCTGCCTACCTCCCTCTTGTATATTGCCCTCCCTGTCACCCAAGTTAATGTGTCTGTTCTATAGCCAGTAAACTATCTCCCTTCCATCCTGCATCCATCAGAGAATATTGCTGTTTTCTCTTTGAAACTCATATATATATACACACAAACACACACACACACACATACATATATAATTATATGTATATATATATTATATATATATAATCCCACTCTTCCTCCCTTCCCCATCCACTTATGTCTCTATGCATATATCTATACATAGAACATTGTGTTGTTCTAGGGTTGTGTCTACATCACTATTTGCATCTATCCTCTTTAGCCCATGTATACCTCCCTGTGTCTTCACCTGTCTTCATCATTCCTGCCACTCGCCCTAGTCTTGTATTTTGCCTTCCCTGTCACCCAAGCTAATGTGATCGACAAGAATTTTTATCTGTGGTCCTCAACTGGCGATCCCAAAGGTCAGGATGGAAATTGAGGATCTATTTAATATTTTAGAATACAAGTAAAAGTAATTTATCATTACCAGTGGACTCATAGGGCAATAAATAGTGTACATTGTTAGACAAATTCTTCAAAACATGAGTCTGGGAGGAAGGTGGTGGTGGTGTGGACTTCTCTAAAGTAACAAAAGGATCCTTGTGAAAATGAAAAGGTTTGGTCCTACTTGCCATTACCTTGTATGGTAATTCTGTGAAAGAAAGAAAAGAATTGTGGCTATTCTTAGATCTCCCACCTTGCCCCACAATCTTAGACCTCCAGGCTAAGAGAAGCCTGAGCTACATCTACCCTCAACCTTTGCTCCACTTTTCCATTTGGATTTGTGCTTAGCTAAGAAGTGTAGCACCAAAGCAGTGTTATTCTGTATTGGGTTTATGAAAAATAAATATGGTACTTCAGGAAGTTTGAAAAAATACAGTATGGAAAGGTTTTTAGTTAAAATTTTTTTATTGTTGTTGATTATTTCAGCCAAGCTGCAGTTTCAGCTCAGGCCACATCAAATGCCAACCCAGCTCAGCCTGCCACTCCACAGCCTCTAAATTTGGCACATGTTCCTGGAGAAGATCCCCCACCAGCTCCAAATCTTGTGGCTCAAGAAAATCGACCCATGAATGAGAATGTTCAAATGAATGCCCAGGGAGGTCCAGTGCTAAACGAAGAAGACTTCAATCGAGACTGGCTAGACTGGATGTATACGTTCTCACGAGCTGCAGTTCTTCTTAGCATTGTTTACTTCTATTCTTCTTTTAGTAGGTTTATCATGGTAATGGGAGCTATGCTACTGGTTTATCTGTAAGTAACCTTCACTGACTTTTTGTAGTTTCTTTTAATTACTTTCTAAGGCTGCTTAGCACAGAGTCTGTCATCTGGTAATCTGTCAGTGAATGTGAAGTAAAGGAATGTGGATGCTGGGCTTCTGATAATTTATTTTATTTCTAATTCTGAAAGCAAGGCAAGTTCTGTTACATGAGGATGTTTATGAGGATGTGTCGAGGAGATTTTCCCTCTATTTTATGTAGATTGTAAATTTTGTTAGACTTGTTCTATTAGAAGGTGTACTATGCACTCCTATACCAAGATACCCTTTTTCCATAGAAGTTAGCAATAGTAAGTCCTACAGGTATAGGTTGGGTGTAGGTCAGACTAATGTTCCCTTGTCTCCTTTCTCAAGGGGCAAAGACACATTTGAATTTCATTTTGAAAAATCTTACAAAGAAGATTTTGTGACTCTTGATGTGTCATATCATAGAGCCAGTTAAGCCATGGTAGACTTTTAGACTAGAATGGATTATTTTTCTTTTGCTGTCATTGCTTTGAGAGAGAGATTCTGACCTGAAGTACGAGATGTGGTCTTCATTTATTTCACTTTGAATCATATTTTCTCTTGTAGGACACTAATACTTTATAACCTTACAGATAAAGGCAGTTGACTCTTCTCTTTGTTTTATTGAATAGACATCAAGCTGGATGGTTCCCTTTTAGGCAAGAAGGAGGTCAGCAACAGGTTCCCAACAATAATGCTGAAGTCAACAACGATGGGCAAGATGGCAATCATCGAGAGCTCGAAGAAATGGTATGTTAATAAGATGTTTATACATTTTAAATAGAGATGTTTCCTCAGGACCACATGGAACCAAAATAGTGAAAGAATCATGCATCTTCCACTAGTGCCATAGTTTCCAGGCCACATGAAGAAAAGCTGAATTAGAAATTGTGATGGTTTCATCCTTCAGAACTTAGAGAAGAGTTTTCAATCAGTCGTATATTAGAAGGGTTGATATTATTCTTCCTGAAAATAACCTAGACTGAAAATTGTGCATGTGTTTTGAATTTATTTTATTACAGTGACATTTGTCTCCTTTGAATTTGAACACCAAAGAATTTATCTTTTTAGAATTTAGCAAAGATTTATAAAGATCAGATAGGTATCACTTTCTTATTACATGTTCGTACTTATTTCTACTAAAGAATGTAACTCTCTCCTTTCTGTTATGAGTTAATACTAGCTGTTCATATTATCCCTTAGGAATATGTTTCTTGTTTTGTTTGAAAGGAGCGCCTCATGGATGATGGGCTTGATGATGAGAGTGGAGAAGATGCAGGTGAAGATGGCAGTGCAACTCAAAGGCCGGGATTAATGGCTTCAGCCTGGTCTTTCATCACCGCCTTCTTTACGTCACTCATACCAGAGGGGCCTCCCCAGGTTGCCAATTAGAACTGAAAACCTGTGCTAGCTGCAAAGGAGGGTCTGACTTCAGCAAAGTGTTTTAAATAACAGTGCAATTTAAAAAAAATTTATAACTTTCTTTTGATCATGTACAGAGAGGTGTTTTTTTCTTTAAGCTTCTCATGCGTATGACATTTTAAGCACAAATGGACTACTAAATGTGTGATTTTTTTTTTTTTAATTCTAACAGAACATAGTGTAACAATATTTGTCTTCCAGGTTTTATTCATTTCAATTATGTGCATTATACCAAGACAGACCTATTTGTGTGTCTTATTTCTTTAAAGAGCTGCTTCACATATACATGTCTATAGTTAGTAGCCTAGCCCTTCAATGTGTAATTTGATTAAATACATCTATTTTCTGTGAATTCTCTAAAAATTTTGAACAGAATGACCTCATAGTTTTTAACAAAGAACATTATTTCCCTGAAGTGAGCTAGTAGCATCTTGCCCAGCCATAAAGCAATAAACTCAGTACTCTTAATTTTGAAATTTGAATAAAATAATGGAAACTTTCTATTTCAAGGGCATGTATCCCATTACTTGGAATTCGTACCTATAAAAAAAGGCAGCTCTTCAGTGGAATTAACAGTGATATGTTTAATACAGTCAGTACTTTTATAAAAATGAGATATGCTGGAATCACTTCCTGTAATTTTTTTAAATAAAAAAAGTCAATTATGGTAAACCGTCTTTTGGAATATTTGTTGAAACTCTCAATAATGTGCAAAAATCTATATAAAATTCAGCAGTTGTTTGGAAGGGTTTTACCGAAGTCTTCCAGGTATTTCCACCTCTTTCCTTTCCAGATAGCTGTCTTCTTCTAGATCTTAGTGTGAATGGTTGGTAGTTTATTTAAAGATCATAATGGAAAAAGTGCAGCCAAAATGTTCCTTAGAAACAAAATGGTGAGACTTCCTCTTTCTTACTTTGAACATGTTACCAGAAGGTATCAGTCCTTGGAGAAGGAACTTATACTTGGTAAAGTGGAGGGTTGGTGAAAAAGAGGCAGACTCCTAATGAGATGGACTGACACAGTGGCAGCAACACTGGGCTCAAACAGAACAACGATTGTGAGGCTGGCACAGGGCAGGCCAGTGTTTCATTCTGTTGTACACAGGGCTGTTAAGAGTCGGAACCAACTTGGCGGCACCTAACAACAGCAAGTGAAAGCCGACAAGTGAAAGCCGAATTGAATATTTCATAAGATAGGAGGAGTAAGGCTCTTACAGGGTAGTTAGAAAATAAGTGTGGTTGGAAGAATTTATTTTGTATTTTATATGACAACGCTTTACAAAATTATGAATGTGGTATAGGCATAGGAATATATGATTAGATAATAGAACAGAAGATTGAGAAAACATTCATGAGTTATTAAGTTGCTTAATTATAATGACATAGGTGACATTTCAAGGGGTAAGTGATTATCACTCTGAAAAGTAAAATTTGATTTCTGTTTATATCAAAATGAATTCTATACAACATCTTGGCTGAATGTGAAAAATGAAGTCATGAAAATACAGAAAATACAAGTGAATATTTGTGCTTTGACATATAAAAGGTAAATAATTAGGAAATAAAAAATTTAAAGGAAACAAGTCTTAAATTAGTGCAAAAAGACCAGCAACCCATTAGAAAAAGGGCAAGGACAGAACGCAGGAGGAAAGCATGGGGAAAAAGTGCTTTTGTTGTTAAATGCCGTTGAGTTGATTCTGAGTCACAGTGATTCTGTATAGGGTTTCCCAGGTGCTGATAGATTTGAGTCACCGGCCTTGTGGTTCTCAGTGCAGTGCTTTTCCTATAGTGCCAACCAGGGCTGCTGTCAAGTCACTTTCCATTCATTCCCTGGATGAGAGGTTAGAAATGCTCCCCAGGGTTTCTGAGGCTGTCAATCTTTTAAGAATAAGACTGCCTCATCTTTTTCTTCCAGTGTTTGGTAGGTTCAAACCGCTGACATTTTAGTTAACAGCCCAACGCTTAACCCACTGTGCCACCAGGGCTTCTTGGTGAACCTGTAGAGAAATGTAAAATAATATATAGCTTTCTGTGAAAGCAGGTATGAAATTCAAAATGTGCATAGTCACTTTCAGTGTCATCCTGCCGCTCCTAGAATAAAGATCAAACTCTTTACCAAGGCTTACAGAGTCCTGAGAGTCGGGCACTGGACTCCTCTCAGAGTGAGCTCCTCCCTGTAGCTTTAGCTTCTCTTGTAGCTAGACTGGTCTTCCAGTTCTTACACTCTCTTCCCAGTCTCAGGACTTACAAGGGTGAGTCAAAAATTAAACATACTTCTAGCTATAGAATTAATTTTAATCAGCTTTTAGAAACGACAAATAGATCATTTTTTGATATGTCTCCTTGCTTTGCAATATACTTTGTCCATCTGTCAACAAGGTTTCATATTCCCATATTAAAAAATGTTTGAGGCTGAGCTTCGAGCCACGAATGTACCACTGTCTTCACTTCATCATCAGAGGTGAGTTTTAGTCCTCCTCCAAGGGCTGCTTTCAGGGGACCAAACAGGTGAAAGTCCAGTGGCTCAAGATCAGGACTACAGGGAGGATGCTTTAATGTTTCCAAATGAAGTTTTTACAGAGTGTCAACAATGTGGACAGAGGTGTGAGGATGTGCATTGCCATGCCTCACCAACCCCTTGGATAGCCGTCCTCTGCGTTGAATCTGAAGTTTAAGCTTCAGTTCTTCAGTGAGCACTGTTGATTGTTGAACTTTTTTCCTGATAGTTTTCCAGCACTGGCCCTTGAGAGTCTCAGAAAACTGTAAGCATCAATTTTCCAGCTGATGATGACTCTTGCACTTTTCTTGTTTGGCGATTGAGGGTGTTTCCAGTCCATACTCTACCGTTTACTCTCAGACTCGTAGTGATGAATTCATGTTTTGTCACCAGTAACAAATTTTTTTTAAAGCAACTTTTACCTACCTTCACATATTGGTCTAAATTTTGTTTGCAGATGTCCAAATGCTTCTGCTTATATGCTTTTGTTTATGCTCTTCCTTTAGTTGTTTTGGTACCCATCCTGTACAAAGTTTTCAAAACTCAAGTCTGGTGTGGATTATTTCATAGGCAGAGCCATGGCTGACTTGCAGATAACTTGCCACATAGTCCACTGTCTCATGTCTATTTGACAGAATCATTTCATGTGCAGGCTTAATGTTGTCATCAGCCATGGATGTGGACTGCTGTTTTAATATTACTGGAGTGCAGGTAATTTTTGACTCACCCTCGTAATATAGTTGCTTTTCTTTTTGCTGAGAATGTAGTCGTTTCCTTATTAATCATTCTTCTGATCTCAGCCTAATCGTCCCTTCCTCGGGGAAGCTCTTCCCTGGTTGCGCCATTTACTTCTTTGTATTTAGCTCTATCATAGTTAGTTCCTCAGTTGCCTCTGGAGGCATGTAGAAGGACTACGAAGGTGAGGAGTGTGTGTTTGCTCATCATTATATTCCCAGTCCTAGAAGAGTGTTTGGTAGTTAGCTCAATAATGACTGTGAGTGATTGAAAAATGTACTTACCCTTTGAAGCTGCAAAAGTTTGAAAGGAGATCATGCATATACTGTAGTCCGATGCCTTTACCCGTCATGTGCAATTGGAAGAAATTAGAACTGACAGATGTTCAACAAGGTAAGCTATGATATCTTTGTGCACTGAAATATACTACATGTGTAGCCATTACAAATTATGTAGAATTGGGATGGCTGAAGGATTGTCTGTCACAATATACTAAAAAGTTGCATGTCTTTATTTTTACATATATTAGTATATGCAAAGAGATTGGAAGGAAATACATCAGAAATAGTAACATTTGGAAGGTGTAGATTGTGATATTTCTTTTTGCGTATCTGTTATCAAAGTTTTTCTACAATCAGCATTTTAATGTGTTTCTAAGTTATTTTTATAGAGCGCTATTAGTAAAACTTTGAGCATTTGTAAGCTTACCTCTCAGTCAGTCTTTAACAGATCATCATCTAAATTCTTACATTTTTTAGGGCATAGTAGTTCTTGTTGAATTTCAGTAAGGTAAAATTTAAACTGAAAAAATATCCTGGTAGTGGTGGTGGTGGTTATATGCCGTTAAATTGGTTCCGACCCATAGCGACCCTGTATAGGGTTTCCGAGGCTATAAATCTTTATGGGAGCAGAAAGCCCCCATCTTTCTCCCATGGAATGGCTGGTAGGTTTGAACTGCTGACCATGAGATTAGCAGCCCGATTCATAACTACTACACTATCAGAGTTCCTTAAATAATATACTGTTGTTGTTAAGTACTGTGGAGTTGGTTCCAACTCATAGTGACCCTGCACAGGGTTCTGAGGCTGTAAATCTTTATGGGAGCAGAAAGCCTCATCTTTCTTCCGCGGAAGGCTGGTAGTTTCGTACTGCCAGCCTTGAGGTTAGCAGCCCAATTCATAACCACTACGCTACCAGTTAGAAGACTTAAAATGTCCTTGAACCATTTGGATTTTGGAAATGGGTCATAAAAAAAATCTTTTATTACCAGCTAAGTCTGAATATACATTAATTTCTAGCAACCTTGTGAGTGTTTGGGTCCATGACTAGGGGTAGCTTGTTTTAGGGCTGGTGCAGTCACTGTGTTTTTAGAGAGGGTCTAGATTTTAATCTGTTGTTGTTACACACTGTTCTGACTCATAGTTGACCCTGTGTGCAACAGAGTGAAGCACTGCCCGAGCTGGCACCATCTTCATAATTACTATGTTTGAGCCCATTGTTTGCAGCTACTATGTCAGTTCATCTTGTTGAAGGTCTTCCTCTTTTTCACTGACCCTCTGGTTGTGGCTCTGTAGGATCCACACTGCATTTGTGAACCACAGGGTCGACAATTCAAACCCACCAGCTGCTCCTCAGAAACCCTATACAGAGTTGCTATGAGTTGAAACCGATTCGATGGTACGCAACACCAACTACTTTACCAAAGCATGACGTCCTTCTCCAGGGACTGGTTCCTCCTGATAATATGTTTGAAGTACATGAGATTCATTTGCAAATTTCAGGTGGTTAATGAGTTTTTCGTCAATCCTGATACTGTAATCTCCTTCCCATCGTCTGCCTTTTTGAATTACTTGCTTAGCATGCGTGTTGAACCCGCAGTTCCTGCTGTGTGTCTTCAAGGTGGTTCCCGAGCCTGTAATTTTACAGGAACAGAAAGCCTCATCTTTCTCCTGAGGAGTGGCTGAGGGATTTGCACTGTTGACCTTGCACTTTGACTATACCACCAGGGCTCCTTATATTGAACCTGGGAGGTGATAAACTGTTATGGT